TCTCCTGCCTCCGCCTCCCAAGTAGCTGGGACCACAGGCGCCCAACACAACGCCCGGCAATTTTTTGGTTGCAGCCATTATTGTTGTTTGGTGGGTCCGGGCTGGATTCAAACCCGCCACCTTAGATGTATGTGGCTGGCGCCTTAGCCGCTTGAGCCACAGGCGCCGAGCCGATAGTTTGATAACTTAAAATAAAAACAGACTTACCTTTAGGAGAGCCAAAGCTACATGAAAGATTATGTTCAAACCCTGAAATAGAAAAAGAAAGTGGAAATCAATATGACATGTATCGGTATTTTATTAAGTATTTTCCCAAAACTTTCATATGTCTTTGATTAAATTTCTAACTGTCTTCATCTTCATATATAACAATAAATCATGACATTTTTTGTAGTTTTTTTTTTTTTCAGCTGGGGCTGGGTTTGAATCCACCGCCTCCAGCATATGGAGCCAATGCCCTACTCCTTTGAGTCACAGGCACTGCCCAAACCATGACGTTTTTTAAAAAGGTATTTTCCTTTTCTGAGCAGCTTATTGCAAATTTTAGGTGCTGTTTAATCAATGTTCACATAGAACTATTATTTTTAAGATATTTTCTTTCAATCCATTTCTGGATTATTTGTATGTGTCTGTGATTTGTAAAAGTGAAGTTTCTTGCTCAAGCTGGCAGAATGATGCAGAAATCCAAAATTATTAATTCAAATTTCTAATCCTACTCTGGGCTTGTGGGTGAAAAACAAGACACGACAAACAGTGTTGTTGATGAGTGGCACATACAGATTGTGTAAGAGGAGTTATAGCACCATACTGTATTTCCACAACTATGCTTACTGTTTTATAGTGCTTGGATTCAAGTATCATTTGTATTACTCTAAGTGTATTACTGTATTACAGTATTAATCTGTAATTACCAGCTAATATCTGCCAGATATTCTAGGGATATCTGCCAGACTTCTTTTTCCTTTTTTTAATTAATTAATTATTTTTTTATGCTGCCACACAGACCCAACAGTATCTTTTCCTTTTCTTTTCTGAAAACTACACCAATATTTCCTTGGTAATAAACAAACTAACCAACTTCTTGAGAAGCCATGTTAAAACTGAATTTTGACATCTGAGTTCAGCCAATGACTCGAAAGCAATGTTGAGCTATTAAATTCAAGACAGAGAGAATTATGTATGATCAAGATAACAGAATCAGAAATAAGGTTGCCACAAAATGTGATGTTTCCTTGACATGCAAGCCATTCTTTATAGATGAGAAGAAAGATCTTTCAAGTATGAATTAGCATCGCCCATGAATCTGAGCTCTACTTAATGTGCCTTCTTCATCTTGCCCACAAAATCTATATTTGCATATGAAGCTGTGTCAAATGTATTATGTAAAGCACTTCTAATAAACATATGACTTTTCTGTCTCCAAAATTCCTCCAGAATTGAGAATAGGCCTAGATATTCAGAGTGCATTCCTGTTACGATTTTCTGTTATAACCTTTAACATTCAGATACCAAAAATATGACATAATGGTGGAAGGAATAAATGATAAACACAAAATATTTGGTTGGTTAAAATATAAACCAAATATTTTTGGTTTGGTGTTTACTCAGCTAATTCTTTAAAAAAAAAAAAAAAAACAGAAGCAGAAGAAAGTAAGTATAGTCAGGCCAGAAGACAATCAAATTGACACTGTTTCATCACCATACTAAGCAATGATCCTAGACTGGTTTTGATCACAATTTACCAACTAGAAAAAGGGAAGGAGACTATCAAAAAACTTCAATTATAATTAAGCAAAATTCATTTTCTTAATCTAAATTTGAGTCCTCACCCATTAGCTGCTGCTCACTTGCCACAGAAACGTGCATGTCAGGATGTAAAAGATCTGCTCCTGCCCTCACTTTCTGTCCACCTCCACATCGCAACCGCTAAGTCAGCAGTAAATTCTCACAACCCAGGTAATTCATCAGCCTCCATCAGGAATAAATCTACCATGTCTCCAGCTCTTATTTTCTAGCCACTGCTCAACATGAAGCCCCTTCTTATCTGTACTTACCTAATCTTCATAATGCTTTTGTCTTTTCTCTGAAGCCAGCTCCCCACTCCTCCTCTCCTTCCCAAATCCTTTCATTTTACTCTTTGGAAACTTCACTCTGTGTTCAACCAACTTAACCGTATTCTCAACCTCCATGCCAACTGTTTCCCCTCAACTCCTTATGTTCAAAGGAATAGTGAAATCTCACTGATTCTGCTAACAACCTATACTATGATTCTGATTTTTCAAAATATGAACATGCCTAGTTCATGGTTATATATGGAATATATGGGATTAATGGCAAGCTAGGACCACCCTCAAGCCTCCTGATGTTTAGTCTAGTGACATTTTTACTATATAGTGCTAGTGCAATATACACAGCAGGTGCTTATTTGATGACCAAATGATTAAACTATACTAGCTATCCCAAATTTTCTGGGACTAATTTTTCCCCTGTGAGCCCAACAAGAACAATATATGGTATCCTCATTAAATTACAGTAAGAATAGGATGAAATGATGACTAACTTTTAAAATAATTAATTCAGATCTTGGCACACAGAAAATGATTTGTGGCTACTGGTTCTTAATTGCTATTTTGTACTTGGAGGTAGACCTTTTCTTCAATTATGTCAAAATCAAACCATTAGATAATCGAGGTATACAAACACTAAGAAGAACTTAGAAATAAAAAAATTTAAAGATCTCTAAACAGCCAAAATAGCTTTCACAAACACCAAGAGAAAAATTTGTTCAATTTTTTTCTTTTTTTAAGACAGGGTCATGCTCTGTCACTCCGAATAAAGTACAGTGGCATCATCACAACTCACAGCAACCTCAAACTTCTGGGCTCAAGTGATCTTCTTGCCTCAGACTGCTAAGTAACTGGGATTGGTGCCACCATACCCACCTAATTTTTCTATTTTTTGTAGAGATAGGGTCTCGCTCTCACTCAGGCGGGTCTTGAACTCCAAGCCTCAAGCAATCCTGCCTCAGTGCTAAGTTTACAGGTGTAAGCCACTGTGCCTGGCCCAATTTTTATTTTACACAGACTTCTAATTAGTTTGGTGATACAATTTTATGAATATCAGAAGTAGAAAACTATAAGACAAATTATGTACTAGATGGGGTTAGGGATAGACAGCCTGTAGAAACAGTTGTCAGAATTAAAATATTAGATCTCACAAAACTAGGAGATACTGTATTATCATTATTTTTTTTAACTGACAAAATGCATAGCTATCTGGGCCCACTTGGGGGAGCCAATAACCCTTCAATAGTTAGTTACTAAGTAGTATTGACAATCGTCATTATCAGCAATGATAATCCAGCAGCATCAATGAATTATGAATTACATCGTATTAAAATACTGTGCTTAGGAAGAAAACAGAATGTGTATTTTAAATAAAAAAGCAGATTTTTAAAAAATTTTGAGAAGCTAAAGAAGACATTTTTAGTTACCAGAAGAATGCACATATGTAAATTCTTTCAACAAGTTCACAATAATAAGGTATTACTGTACCTGCTTATGTGAAGCTGTAGACTTGACTCAGAAAAATCAAGTGAAGACTTCATAAGCCTTAAACTAGACTAGAGTAGCCACACTATGCAAATTAATAAGATACTTACATCTGAGTTGTAGGAAATCAGGAAAAATGTGTTATTCTATCAAGTTCTCTTTTGCACTACAAAACATACCCTGACTTCTTTCTTCTTTTTTTGTAGGAAATAAAATCACTTTAATGTGCTACCTTTCATTCTGAAAGGTCATTACAGTATTGTTTGTGAAATTCAACACGGAAAGATGCCACTGGACAGCCATGTTTTAGGGATCCCTGAGATGAGGAGCTCCTGCCAGTCTGGAAGGGCCCAGCCGGGCTGTGGGTGGCGGGAAGTGCAGAGCAGCCAGACTCAGGCAGGCAGCACCCAGCAGAGGCCAGGCCACCCCAGTACCATCAGCAGAGGGTGCGAGGGTCCCAGCATTTCCACATCCCAAAAGCAACATGTCAACCATTGCTTTAGTTCTCTTCCACTGTGTTCTGGACAAGGCCTGTGAACCTCCTTTCAGCTCGCCAAGTGTAGAAAGGAGGCATGAGGGCTGCAGGCCCAGCTGCAGTTAGTAAAAGTAGCTGAGGGGACCAAGGTCGTTCTTACACCTAGCCAGGCTCTCCCCCATACCTGAGAAACTAGGGGTGAGCGCTTCTGAGAAGCCCAGATGGGCCTGATGAGAAGGTCTTTTTGGTGAAGTTTGAACTCCCAAGTGGGCTTCTCTGAACTCTCCAGGGATGGAACATTCTGCCAGTGCCAATTCTCCACAGGGTTGCTGATTCCTATTTCTACCCATCTTGATAGTCACGGAAAAGCAGGCCACTTGAAGTGCAGTGAGCACAGCCCTGACCTGAGTTGTGGGCCAGCCACCTGTCGAGCAGCCTTTAGCCTCGCCAACAGGAAGCAGCTTGGAAAACAGTACTTGTAGCCCCTGCTTCATTCTGCCTCCCACAGCAACAGCCCTAGCTGATGTAGGAAGGAGCTTCATTTCAGGGAGTGCTTCTAACTTCTGTCACAGGGTAGGTCACTGCAGATGGCTTGTCCTTTTTCTGTCATCACCAGATCCTCCTTTTTGGTGTTGACACAGGGGTCCAAACACTAACACCTCTTATGTTTTCACAAGGCCCTTAAACTGGGAGGGTCCGGGCATATCGTTTCTTTCTGCAACAACCTAGAATGGCAGGGAAATTGCAGGTCTTAGTCTGGGAGGGCTGGGGCACAAATCTTTTGCTGGAGGTAGTCCTTTGAGCCATTCTGAAAGAATGTTTTCTTCTCTTTTCTAGCTACTCCTAGCACTGGGGGTGGAGGGCAATTTCTCTGAGGCTTTGGAGGTCTAGACCATGTGTGATCAGGGGAGTGGCACAGGGCCCAGCTGGGGCAGAAGGGGGTGTGAGCATGTGTGAGGGCCCTCAGCTTTAGCCAACAAGTAACCAGAATCCCCCTTTCCCCATCAGAAGAGCTTCTCAAAGATCCTACATGTGTCCTCCAACACTGTCACAGTGTAGCCCATGGTTCTTGCGTCTGTAGAGATCTCGTGGTCATTGCCACCTGGCATGGTTTTGTCTCCAAAGAAATAAATGGTCTTATAACCATCATTTTCCATGTGTGTCAGGCAATACATTTTGTCCCATCCATCAGGAAAGACATCAAAGCTGATCTGGCCTCCTAT